TTTACCTGTACTGCACAGCAGTTGAATTTTTCAAATTATCAAAGTACAAGTCTTTCAAAAGAAAACTGAAGGCAAACAGAAACAGTTTCTAATTTTTTTTTTCAAGACTTAAAAGAGAATCAAGACAAATAACCTTCTGTTCTTCCTATACTAGCCCTAAGATTTTTTTTATCATGTATTATACGGAGATCCAAGTTAACAAGTAAAATCCGTTACTTGGATAGAAAACAATTTTAGGTGAAAGTGCCACCCATTAAATGATACTTATTTGTTATATACTCGGTGATACAGATTACCTCAAGTGATTCTAAGAGTCTTACAAACACTTCTATCAAAACTATACCTTCCATTCTTCTTCTTTCCTGCAGTCATCAAATACTGATGATTTTAGCTCTGTAAGAAGAAAGAGATATTTTTTCTTAGTAACAATTTGATTCCTCTAACTGGTAAACTAAAATCACCCATTTATACTCATGATTAAAGACCTAAATAAATAAAAAACCACCACCGATAAACACTTTTACAGAATTACTGACCACAAACTGGCCCTGCCTGTTTCAGAAAGATGTAGCTGAATTTTTCATTTTTGTTAATAAACAGCTCCATAAAAATCACTCTGAACGATTAGTTTTCTGAAGTGATCTGAATGATCACTGTTTGTTTAGCAAACTCTTCTACAAAATGGATCTTACACATGCTAAACATTTAAGATACTCTAAGATAAGAGAGTTGGATCAACACATTCACAAATAAACCTATTTTAAAATATATGGTAACTTCACATGTCCTTGTTCTTTCTCTAGAATTCCAGAGCAAGACTAAGATAACTTTAAATTCCTGAAAGAACTGGTATCTTAACTAAGGTATGCATTATCTTTTCCTGCTATGACAGCTTTGAGAGAAATGTCAACTAAAAAGCTTGTACAAGATTCAGCAATAGGAATCAGCATCTAGTTACAACAACTTTAAAAAAAAAAAAAAAAAAAAATCACAAGAACCAAGTTGCAACTTTCAGGAGTGGTGTTATCAAGCTAATGCAGATTTGATATCACTGCAATGGTACATATTTAATTAAAAGTCATAAAATTTGGGGAACTGTTTAAAACCTGGTGCCTGTAAACATAGGAATAAAGAGTTCTGACTATTCTGGTCTCTCTTCCCAAAGAGCAGAACTTCAGATTAAGCCAATGACTACTGCTGTCTATTAAAATAGCCGGACCTTTTACCCAAATAAAAAAAATGAAAGCAAAAGAAACAGAAGCCTAAAATATAGATGAGCAAATTTAGCACAGATTTTTGTCATTACTGCCAAGAGAAAGAACCATACGAAGTTTCAGAAGAGTAGGTGTGCATACAACAAAACATACACCTACTTCTTCAGTGTTTATAACTATTAGGGTATTCACTTATGTCCAAGTCCCTATCACAAGATACTCCATCTCGACCCCCAGCTTCCAATGCCTCAGAATTCAGCAGTTTCTTCCAGCTGAGCTCTCATCCAGCCTTAATTTCAGTTTCACCAACTCTAATATTGCATAGCACGCAACACTCCCAATATGTCACACTTCATGCTTCTCATATTTTACAGTGATGTCCTACAGACTCACACTAACACAAGTTTCTTTTGAAAGATGAGTATGCTTTAGCTTTCCAACATATTCAAGTTACTTTTTGCAGTACTGATATTCTTCAGAGCAACTTAAAATCCTTACACTTTATCTAATAAACTGACAAAAAACACCAGCCTTAAAGTTGCTTAAGCAAAAGAGCACACTTCAGGAGTGATGCAACTGGTGTATTTTGTTCACGCTGCTAAAAAAAAAAAAAAAAAAAAGTCAAACTCAAGCTCATTTCTACTGAACTGTTTTCTGCTTATACAACTCCCAAAATCCATTATCACTCCTCAAACTTGACCTCCAAGTTGCTTCCAATTCAACATCCTTCCTGTTATACACAATCCACAGCTTTCAACAAGTTCTAGGTCTGCCTAGCATGGTGTAGAAACTCCTATGACTTATTTGGATATACTCACTATAATAAATTGCAGAACACTCAGCACTCCATAGCTGCTACCAAGATGTATTTGTTGGTAATACCTGAAAACAGGATGTAATGCAGGCATATTTTTTCCTGTCACTTTTATACTGTGTATTTGTTACTTACATTTTTCTAAGCCTGTACACAAGGTGTAAGAACAAATCTTTAGCCTCATGAAAATTTCATAAACCTCCAAATTTTCCAAGAACATTCTTACCAAGGAAGTAGTTCTTAGCATTACACAGTTCTTTTTAATAAATTCAGTCCCTGAGAGCCTTGTACAAAAAGTATATTTGGTATTTTGGACAATACTTTAACTTACTTGCCTACAAAATAAACCAGAACATACAAATGCATAATCCAGTTGTATCTTGAACTTCCTTTCTGTAATAAAAAATAGAAGTTAACTTTCTCCCATTATAAAAAGAAATTTTATTCCACGCTATCAGTGTACCAGATAGAATGTACTTGCCCCTGTAACATTCCAACGGCTATTTGTTTTGTCCTCAAGCTTCAGCTGCTTTACCCAAATAACTGGCCTACGCTTGTTTACAGGCTCTCAAAATCATCTCATTTGACTCCAGTAAGCATTCTGAATGAACCAAACCCAATCATAAGCCCAGGTATGAATAGTGCTCCATTTTTGTTTAATATTTCACTTGCTCCTCATGAATTTCATACCAACTATGCATCCTAACTACCTTCTCTAATTCTGCCTTCTCTTAATATATTCAGTTAAAGGCATTTTACTTCTACTTTTACTTCCTGATCCACATAAGAACGATACACAGGGGTGAAGGAACAGCAGACTGAAATCCCTGTGTGGGGGGAAAAAAAACAACAAAACAAAAAACACCCACACTCCTTGACAAAGTTAATGAGTATAGCACACTTCCTGAAGAAAGGATTGAAATAGCTTTCACTATAAGCAAGTGTTGCAGAAAATTAAGTTACAGAAATGCTAAATCATTTTAAAAAAATTAATATAGATATCTATGGCAAGGGTAGCATCTTAGCATACAAGTCTAGAACACATTTTAGAAATTGTAAAAAATTTAAAAACAGAATTCCTCGTGGAAATAACCTTATTTACAGACACACATGCAGTATGTAGTTAATTTTATAACTTTACTCACAGGATCTACTGTCTCCTAAATACAGGTAGCTTCCCCAGCCCCCATAACTGTGAACTTAACTGACAATGAACTGGTGAAGTAACCATTTCACACACTTCTGCTTAGACTCAGTATAAAATTGCACCTTACAGAAAGTGCTATCACAATGGAAAAAATGTTTTTTTAACAGCACCATACCAGAGCACAGGTACAAAACTTTGTACACACAACATGGGTACAACTACTCTGCCTATTCACAGAATGTCAGTGTACACAAATTCATGAACTATCAGCCTCACTGATATGTTATTTTCATACAAACCAGCCTTAAACCCACACATTTGCTGAAATATTAGCAAGCAACAGTTTATGACCTTGAATTATCCATAAATGGAGTGCCAGCCAATGTCTAAAACTTATTTCATGAATTTTCAGTGTTGTTGTAGTCTTGCAAAGACTAGAGTAACTAGTCAGCTAACAACACATGCTTTTCAGCAGAAGATTCCTTTTAACAGTTTGCAATATAAGTGTTTCACTATTCACACTGGTTCCTCATCACTCTCATCTTTCTTTCACGTGGCCTTGTTCATACTGGCAATACCTTTTTCAAAAGTCCTTATACGCCCCGATGACACACTAGGGCTTTGATCAGGTTTCCTGCTTTTAAGGTCTGAACCTTCTATAAAACACCTCAGGATAAATCAATCGCTTCACAGTCAAAGGCACAAATGACTTCGTAAGGCAAGACAGGACAAGCAAAGAGCAAAAGTAGTGATTTCTAAAGGTCAAGTTTTAAACAAAGGGATCTAACTCATGCGAGCAGGGTACAGATGTCAGCAATAGCAGACTGAACATCACAGGAACAGTGTGCTTCCCTCTTTCTCCTCTTTTCCTATTTAGTCTTCCAGTGACACAAGTAAGCAGATTGGAGCTTGCAGGTGGAAGCAAAGGAGGCGGTGGCCAGACCCTCCCATTTCAGTGACAGACAGTCACTAGGCTGGCTGACCTGTTCATGAAGTCACGCACAACCTCGGTACAATTAAGTCCAGCATGAGGTGGCTGCTAATGCCTTTCCCCAAAGGTCTCACACTACCCAAAATACTATTAACCGTTCTACGCCAGTAAGACATGGAGCAGTTGTAACTTCATTTTCTGTAACAAACACCAGCAGAACCTGTTCCTAAACATGGAGATAAAAAACTGCAATTCGTTTATGAAAGTACCTGGGGACAGCTTCAGATTCTTCTTCTGAAAATCCTGAAGCCCACCATAAAGCAGGCAGTGCCACTTTGTGACAGACAACCAGAGTCCCTGCTGAAGCCAGGCGCGCTCTCCAAAACTGACATTCAAAAAAACAACGGGGAAATCCTTGCAGAGCTGACTTCAGTTCAGCCTCTTCAAGAGCTGCCATAGCTGGCTGTATCCTGTATAACTCACCCTTATCTCGGAATAAAACAAACCTACGTCCACCCAGGTGCTACTACTGCCGGCGCCGCCTCCCGCCACCCCGACGAGTCACTGACTGAACCGGCCGGGGAAGAGCAGCCAGCTCCAGCCTCCGCCGCACACCGGGCTCCCCACAGAGCCGCCCGGGCCAGGCCCGGCCCAGCTCTCCCGCCGCCCGCCCGCCTCAGTTCCTAACACGGCTCCTAACGCCCCGCCGGCCGCGCCAGGAACGGCCCCAACCCCACCCTCGGCGGCCAGGGGACCCGCGACCTCAACACGCCGGACTCGGAGGGGGGGGCGCCCCAGCAGCGAACACTCCCTGTCGCCTACCGAGCGGCCCTAGGCC